AGAACGTTTGTGTGTTGAGGCCTTCCCTGCTTGATTTGTTCATTAATTTTAATCAAGCGATTATTAAATCAGTTTGGACTATTAATATTTCAATATTTCACATGTTAGTATTTTTGATGAATTATTAATTTTAAATATTATACCGCTAGACTACGCAAACGAGTCAATGGACGTTTTGTTCTAATCCTCATCTGATAATTTTATCAAAGCATAAATATTTATTCTATATATAGTTTTTAAATGAAATTGATGCTAAAAATTCATTAATTAAAAATAAAAATCTTATTCATTTAATCATAAAAATATTGAAAAAAAAAATTAAAATATGTTTTAAAATAAAAGAAATTAAAATTGTTAATGTGGTTTTAAAATAAAATATTTTTAATTTCTTAAATCAAGTATAAAAATTATTTTTACAAAATAAGTATTAATTTGTGTAATAAAAATAAGCTACCCAGAATAATATAAAATTATGCCTCCTGCAAAAAATGCGGTTTTGCGGTGTCGTTGGTGCCAAAGTGCGCCGGTGTCAGTTCGCACGTGCATCCATGTATCTCTTGGGTGGGTGGTTGGGTGGGTGGGTGACGACGGTCAACAAGTGTGTCTGCTCACGGTATGCATTATTCGAATGAGCGGCGGCCGGACACGCGTTTTGTGACAGCTTGCGAGGCCATTTACGAGGAATGCTCCGTATCAAGTTCACCTGGCCGGCGCCCCATTAATCAGCACACGGGCCTTGATGCAGTGAGAGCCGCAACAGATGAGCCGCTTTTTCCTCCACCCTAGCTCGACCACAGGCAAAAGCAACAAACACATTTTCGCCCTCCGACTCATGTCGACGACCCCTTCTTTTTTCAGGCTCCATTTGGTCCCTCCGCCCCGAGAGAAAGAGAAAAAGAGTCGAAAAAAGGGGCAGTAGCGAGGCTTTTCTTTGGGGAGATGGAAAATTGATCCGAGCGTCAAAGACCAGCTTAGCTCTGGATAGACAGATAGAGAGCAGTGTGGTGGCGACTGATTGCCAGATAATGATTGATGTGATGAAAGAAGTGCATTGAAATGTGTCCTCTTCTTCTAATATTGATTGAAGCTGGATTTTGAAACGTTAGATCAAAATTACTCAGATTTGGAATTCAGATTGTTTGCTAACAAATTTATTAATAAATTTGTTAGCAAACAACAAAAAAAGATACATCTTTTTTTAAAATTTTAAACTGATAGTGAGCCTAATATTATTCTATAGTTCATTAAACAGGATACAAAAATTTAAATTAATTTTTTAAAACCTTTTTAAATTGAATTTTTTTTTTAAACATTTAAAATTATAAGATATTACTTTCTACTTTTGTATTTAAAGGTAATTAATTGTCGTGTGAGAAACTTATTAAAACACTTTTAAAAATTAGCATATTATTTAATTATTAATTAAGTAAATGTTATTTATAAATATAATTAAATAAATAACTAATTTAATTTGAATTTTTTTTTGTAAATTGATTTAAAAAGAGTAAATTAAATTTTTATAGTCAAGCCAAGGCAGTCACATCAGTCTGTGCCTGTCATTGATGATACAGATGACAGATTTCAGTAAATTATTTTTAAAAAAATGAACAACCACAAATTGAAATATTGTTAAAATTAAAAAAAAAATGTACAGAATACTTTTTAATGCAATTGAAAATCGCGACAAATAAGTAATTTTCATTTTTATATATTTGCTCCATTTTTTTAAAGAACAAATTTAAATAAATCAACAATTATTATCACTTCAATAATAAAAATATATATTTGTTTGAAATTTTTTGCATTAAAAAGTTTATAACATAGGTGTAAATAACTTAACTTTAATTTTAAAATGACAGCAAATAAAGCTTTGTCAGCAGAATGACTAAAAACCCCAAATAAAAAGCGTGAAAATGAAGTCAAAGCGCCGCTGAGAGTTAAATTCAACGGCGCAAATCACACACTGAAAAAATGATTATCCTGTAAATTTTTTTTATATACACACACGCAGAGAGCAATCCTGCTCGGAAGAGAGAGAATGAGTGCGCGTTTTTCATTTTTTTAACGAGCGCGGCGCCGCAAAATTAAAAGTGCCCTCGACCGGCTCGTTATTTTGACGAGTTGGCGTGCGAGTGTGTTTCTGGCAATATTTCGCAGCTCATTTGGCGGCAGGTAATGATGATGACGCAATAAACGGAGCTCTCGAATTGCCGAGACCCTCCGCTGCGTGAGAGGGCGAACGAGCGAGCGAGCGAGTCCTGGCTGCTGGGTACGCAGAGAAGGAAAAAAAAAACACCAACAGAAGGACAAAATCGATTGGTGTCTTTACAAATGGAGCCATCAAACCTTTGACCCGGGCAATACCAATTTGTAAACACGTACATATTCGTCCAAAAGGAGAAGAACGGGAGGAATAAAAAGCAGAGGGTCTATAGCTATTTCCAGAATTCTCGTTCGCAGTCGTCCCTCGAGGACGCTCTGCACGCGGGGAAACGCGTGTTTTACACCAGTTGTGCGTAAAATGGACCATTTTTCAAATGAACTTGCTGGAACTGAATGCGTTAAGGGCTGCTTTTGTTACGCAGCTGCTTGATTCGGGATGCGCGCGGGTCTAGTGTTTTAATTTTTAATGTCTGATGCCAAGATCCCCCGGTCTCGCCTTAAAAATTGAATTCGACAGAGGGAAACGAGGGCGAGTCAATGAGAAAACAGAATCAGGAGGGTAAAAAAATTAGAAGGGATCGTAAAATAAATATTTATGCTGGCTGGCTGGCTCAGAAATTTTCTTCATTCTTACATCAAATTCGTCGCATGATAGAAAATTAGAAATATTCAGTAATTAAAAATCCTTATTCAATCTCATTTACAGTAAAGAAATAATTAGTTATCTTGTATTGAAATGTGACATATATTGTAATTATTCCATACATATCTAAACTTTTAATTAAATTTGTAAATTAAAAATGCTAAGTTAAGCAAATTTAAAAAAAAAAAATGATTGAAAATTCATGGAGTAAAAAAAATGAATTGATAAATTATTAGTTTAAATAATTTTACTATAAAATAATAATTAAAAAACTCCTTTTAAATTGCTTATTGTTTAATTTTGATTTCCATATCAGGGCTAAAATTTTGAAGGAATTTAAAGGAGTAAAATTGCCTTGCAATAGAGTCTCTAAAAAAAATCAGTTTTGATCTAAATATTACTAATGAAATATTCAATTTTTAATTATTTAACCTAAATTCAGAAAAAAAGGATCAGAATGTTGAAACGAACATTTTATAAAACGATAAATATCATATGTCGCACTTCATTTTTCCTCCGCCATTGGCAATCATCCCTTGAAAAGCGGGTCAGATTTATCGCGAAATTCACAGCGACATGGACTTCGTAATAACTATTCACGTGCCATCGCGTCTCTCCTCTCTTTTGACGGGCCTGAGTGTCGTGCGGGGCCGCCGATCTGTTTAATCCGTCGGGCGCCTGGCACTCGCGGCTTATGCAGCACGTCGGACACACGTGACGCACCGGTTGCATAACTCAGCCGGCCGAACGTGAAATGCTCTCGGCTGGGCGGCGGATTACTCCGTGTGAGAGGCACGGCCCGAATCCAATATTGCTCGGCAGATCAGCGCAGTAAAAACGACGAGCGCGTCCATGATTTGCATCGATCCGACACACCTTTTCGCACATTGTGTGTGCGCCCGTGGCCGCGCATCAATATTTATTGCATTTAGCTCGGAACAATTTGCTGGCTGCGTCCGTAACGGCTGAATGGGGGATTATTAGCTGTTGGAAGCAGCAGAAGCCCCGACAATTCTCGGCTGTTTGTTTGATGGCGTCTATTGAAAATGAAAGACCAGAGCCCATTTCGCATGGTTAGGGGATTAATGTTTATTATTAATAGTGCTCGAAACTTCAATTAAATGATTATAAAGTTTTCAATAGCTTTTCTCTTTATTCACAAATTAAATGGTTTCAGGCGTTTTCAAACTAATTCGATTAACAAGTAATAATGGGTATAACTAACTAAATCTGATAAGCGATTAACAAGAAAAAAAGTTTAGTTTATGACTCGTGACTTCATTTATTGGTGGATGTATTTGCAGAGATATAAATCATTAAATATTAGAGCCCACAATCATTTCTATCATTAAGAATATTTTGAGGCGGATTAAGAATAGGAGGGAATTTGGAACCAATAATAATTTCTTTGGTAAGAGTAAAAAACAAAAGTGAAATTAAAAGATTCAATTTTTTCTGTTTTAAAACAAAATTAAATAATTTAAAATTGAATTGTTCATTTTCTTCCAAATTCTTATTTGCAACTTTGGTAACTCATTTCTCAACTAATCTTTTGAAGGCAAACTACAAAATTCAATTAAAAAAAAAAAATAATAAAAATTAAAGGAAAATAATAAAATTTAATAATACATTAAATTTTCCTAATTCCACTGTGCCTTTTTATAATTAATTTTATTTAAATTTTAAAACAGTTAAATATCAGGAAAACCTCCAAACTCTAAAAACTTCGATTTTCATCAAACGATGTGGATTTTTTTTCAGGAACGAAGGGAAAAGACAATCGCGTCGCTTGACAAAAGAGTACCGTGGGCGCAAATCAACAGACACAAAACCTTTCAAACGCGCCCCATCGAAAGCTCGTCGCCGCCCTTTTTCAATGACTTGTTCGCAGGAGCAGCAGCGAAAACTTTGGCCGGCTCGAGCCAGCAGCAAACTCTTCTCTCAGAGCGAGCGAGTGAATTTGGCAAGTCGATTGTTGTGGTCTGTTCGGCGGGCAACAATGGGGCCGAGCTAGAGGATGAGTCTGGCTGGCGGTCTGGAAAGGCGGCAGGCAGAGAGAGGAAAATGTGTGCTCCGGTCGGCCGGGCGTGCAGAGAGAGAGCAAGCAGAGCCTGGGCGGAGCCAGCCGGGCACTATCGACTGACTCGGGGGGCCTCGCCTGGTGGCACGCCGTACTTCTGCAGTGCGCCGCCGACCCTCGCTCTCGATGCTCGCCGCTCCCGCCGAGCGTCACACGCGGCCCCCGAAGGCCCCCGACGCGGCCCCAGTGCAGTGACTCGTCGACCAGCCGCCCCCACTCGGCCCATTCGCGCGCGCATTCCTCCTCGGTCGTTCGCCAGGGCCGATGCGACGGCCCCCCGGCAGGACTCGCGAGGCCCTTGAGGCCCCACCACCGGCCCACGTGGCCCACTGGCCCCCGATGACGCCCCCGCGCAGTGCGACGTGAGTGATGCTTCGCAGCCTCCGCTCGGGTCTTTGAGTGTTCAGTGCTTGGTATGCTCACAAATCAACCCTTTCTCGAAGCTATTTTTCCTTATTTTTATTTCCGATTTCCGAATGTTGATATTTAAGAAAAAAATATTACTCTCAATATGAGTTTTTAGGTCAAGTCTCATCATTCACTAAATTTTTTTCAGTTTATTTTAACTGAAATTTCATTAAGCGAAAGTTGTCGTTTTAAAACATCATTTATGATAAAAGAAAATTCTTCTCAACACGCCTTTATGGTTCTTGTTTAAATGAAATAATATTTAAATAATTTTAAAATTTTTTATTTCACAATAAATTCAAATTATCTAAATTCTAATTTATGCCCCTAAACAATCAATCTTTTCTTTAAAAGTGCAAAAGAGGTTTCACTTTTAAAATTTACTAAAATCTCCGCCGATCTCAAATTTCAAATTTTTTGCCAGTCTCGGATTTCCCCTTCCCACGCGTGACTTTCTGACATTTTAACCCACATTTTTCCAAATTTAAAAGCCAACCAACTCGTCACCAGAGAGAGTGCAACGAGATTCAAATATAGATCAAAAAAGCTCTCTCGAGGGGCGCAGCACAGAAAAAAAGAAACAGAGAAGAAACGCGCGCGGAACGAGTTTCAACAATGACGTCAGCATTTGCAAAAGAAATTGAATTTTATGACCGTGTGTGTCGCGCGCTCTCTCTCGGTGCATCCGTCTCTCTTTCTCTCACTATTGTTTCGAAATTCTCTTTCAACTCGTATGGCTTTGCAGCGCCGACCAACGAAAGATCACTTTTCTTTTGCAGGCAGGACGGGGTGCAGGCATGTGGGTGGTAGTGTGGGGGCTTGTGTGGGGACTGCTGGCCCCCGGGCTGGAGGCCAACCCTGACGCCAAGAGGCTGTACGACGACCTGCTTTCCAACTACAATCGGCTCATCAGACCTGTCGGAAATAATTCGGACCGTCTCACCGTCAAGATGGGCTTACGCTTGTCGCAGCTCATCGACGTGGTAAGTCAGAATTTTCACAATATTTAAAGAAAAAAATCAATATTTCAAAAAAACAATTTTAGAATATAAATAAGAAATTCTCTTTGGTAGGAATTTAAAAGTTTTAGAGAATTATAAAATTTTCAGTTTAAGTGAATTTCAGTTAAATTTAAGACCATTTACTTAACCAGGTCAGTTTTAACTGTAGAAATATTTGCATACAACGTTTAGCTGCCTCATTTCTCGAGGCCCAATAAAACCGAAGCACGTCCCATTCCACTACCGTTTTTGCGAATGCTATCTCTGCACTTAATTAAGATAGTTCTGCCGTACGTTGGCTCTGTTCGAACCACCCAGTTCGTTTTTCCACACACAAAAGGCTAGAGAAGCAGAAGATATAAATTAGAGTGCGGGCCGGCGCGCACACAAAAGAATAAGAAGCAGTCGGATTCGCCGAGAGAATTTCAATTTAGCCGCTCTCGAATGGAACGCCGTAAAATTTTATGGCTCGATATTGAAGTTTGCACAGATTAAATTGTGAGCCGGCCTTGATGCAAAATTACTGCCGAGATATCTCACGAGAGAATGCCTGGAATGAAATCCGCCGATAATTCCTCTCCGGGGGCGCCCTAAGTGTATTATAAGAAAAGAAGGCGCACAATTGCATCTGAATGTGTACATGCACTCAGGGCGAATGAAAAATTCATCTTTGTGCAAAGAGCGAGCCGAGCAGAAAGCACCGTGTCACTATACCGAGGGTGTGTATGCATAGTCTAAATTGCAACACGGCACGAGAGGAAATTTTCTTAAGCTTGGGGAAAGCGTGACTCGGGGCGTCGCAGACAACTTTTGTCTTACGGAAATGGCGAGACTTACTTATAGGCACGGATAAAGTAAGTGGCTCAGAACTTTTCGACGTGAGAGCCATGCGATGTGCATAATTATTTCTGATTCATTTGTCAACAAAATAAGCAGAAATTCGCGTAAAAATCAAGGAAACACAAGTCGGGGGAAACCCAGAGGGTAAAATAATATTAAATTTTTACAAGTAAAGCTGTGGATAAAGTTTTTCTACTAATATTTGTGAACTAGAGAAGTTTGAAAATAATTTTAAAGGGTTACTGGAAATTTAATTTTCACTATCAACTTTGTTAAAAAAAGGATTCAAATGATGTAAATAAAAATGAAATACAACTGATATTGGAAAAATTATTTAAACTTTATTTTTTAGGGGAAGACGCCATATTTTAATTTAAAATTTTTGAGTATCAGCATGGAAAAGTGGTAATATTTTTATAACATTAAAATCTTAAATTTATTAAACCCTAGTGAAATAAATTACTTCAAATAGAAGATGGAATATTTCACAATTCTTTACTTAATCTGCTAAATTTACAGCAAAAGCTAATTAAGTCCAATTTTGATAACCCACGCAAAGAATTTAACAGAAAATTAATGTTTGTCAAGAGGGAAGGAGGGAGTTGGCAGGGAAAAATTAACGAAACGGGTCCTCTCTTTGCTGGCAGAGTGTGATGACGTGCTTAAAGCTGGAAACAATTAAAGGGGCCGCCTCCGCAAACGCCGCACTCTCTTTTCGCCGAAAAACTGCAGCCCTGCACTGCACGCTCGGAGGAAAACCAATTAATTTGGCTCCCGTGTGAAAACACACCTTTCACACGTTTGATAATTTCCCGCGATTAGCTTTTAAATTGGCGTGATTAATCAGCACCCCTGATGTTTTCACCACTTTGTCCTGCCTGCGGCGGACGGTCGCTTTTCGGGTCCGGCCCGAGAGTGGTTTTCCCCGGGGGTTGAGCGGCGGTCAATACCCGAAAGCACCCATTGTTTGTCCCCGGCAGCCGCGGTCTCAAAGGGTTTGACTCATCTGCCGCCACTCTCTGATGCTGCTGCTGCTGCTCGACGGAATTTTTTCGCCGCCAGAAACGCACTGTATCTCTGCAATCGCGCCGCCGCCCTTTCTTTATTCTTTCTCCAGCCCAACTGCTCTCGCTTTTCCAAGCTAGAGAGGTGTGCGCGCACGTGATTTTCTAAACGTGCCGAGCGAAAATGCTTGTGTGAAAAGCTATTTTGAAAAGTCAGCTGATTTTACTCGAGCGGGCTGTAGGAGAGTTTTTGCCAAGTCAAAGTGTTTAACAATAGAGAGACTAAATTGAAAATTGGGCAAAAAGGTTATATTTTTTATGTTCTATACAATTTCTAGGTGGCACGAAATAATTTTTTGAATAATTTCATGATTGAATTTAAATTAGCTTTTGTCAAAGCTGTTTTAAAGAAATTATCTACGGAAAAAAATTTCATTTAAAATTCACCAATTTCATCCAAGTTATCAAACTTTTTATTGGTGTGCAGCATTGAAAAATGGCAAATACCCACTCAAATTAAAATAGAACTTCTGGAATATTACGTAATTATTTGAAATTTCATTGAACGTATGAAAGCCACGAAATAAGTGAAAATTTTAAGAATAAACCTTAATAATCAAGCTAAACCGGGACAGGCGCAGCTAATTTTATTACACAAAGTTGTTAATGGACTTATTTTGAGGAATGTAAGAATAAAACTCTGATAAGATTTAAATTTATATTCAATTGTTTAATGCAAAGTGAAAATGATATTGAGTTGAGAGGCTAATTGTGACGTGGATATTTAAATTTTTAATTTTTAGCCTTGCTTAAAATCTTTTCAACGATAAGTATAAAGTGATCAAAGCTAGCAGGAAGTTCTCTTCACAGACGTTTGTGTTTTCCTTATAGCCGTGAATATCTGCAGCCAACGATGGGCATAGTTGCTAATTAGTATCCAAAATCACGACCGTAATGACTTCATTATCCAAAGCCCATTATTCCTGATTGAGCACAATTAGTGTTGAAATTATTTAAATTTCATCCATTCGTTACAACACAGCAATTAACTGACAAAAAATTGCATCTGAAATAGAATGAATAAAATTGCGAAAAATTGTAAAATCACGCAAACAGGAAATGAAAAAAAAAATGAATTTTTTTACTTGTACAAACAAATAAAGATTTACTTTAAGATTCATTGAATATCAAATTCAGAACCTTTTTCCTCCCTTAACCTTTTGCCTGACAGTCTCTTCTTATCTTTGGTGAACACGCCACCAGGCAGCAGAGACGAGAGAATCATCGTTTGTTTTCGTGCGCATCTGCTTTAACTGTTGATCTGTCAAGGGGTCTCTGTCGCTCGTTGCCGGTTCGCTTTTGCGCTCTGTATATATTTTGTTATTGCCGGGGCTGATGATGTACCGAGTTTAAAAAGAAGGAAGACAAGAGAGTCGGCAGGCAAGCCTGGTGCAGAGAGAGAGAGGTGGAGGGTTTGACGTCCAATAAAGCGAGAATGGATGAGGCATAAAAAGAGCTAGTCGGGGCAGGGAGCGAGTCGGTTCGGCCGTCGTTTCGGATCCACAAATAAAATGAGAGGCAGCCCCTTTAAACTGGGCAATCCGCCTTGCAATCGAACGGACAAATAAATAAATAGAACGACCCTTCTTGACAAGAAACGACGCTCGGCTGGCATTTTTTTTTTCACAAACGAAAACGGATTGCCGCTATTTTCTTTTTGTGGGAGAAAATTTTGCCTTAAAAATAATATTGTATAATGCATGGAAAAAGAGATGGGATTTTTCTGGGGCGTGTCAAAAGTCGGTCGAGTTGTTTAGCGACCGAGTCTGTCATAAACTGGGCGTATTTGCCCGTAAAAAAAGGAAGCTCGTCTCTGCGAAGGGACATTGGTATTAAATTTGCGAGCGAGAGCAGGTCTTGCAAGCATAGAGAGTTTTACGAATAGCCGGCTTCTTTCAGTGGGAGCGCGTAAAAAATTAGCTTTGTGTGGCAATTTTAGCGATAAAGTGCTTCCGTCAATGGAGCCAATAGGGAGGGGTAATGCAACGTGTCTGATGTACCCATTGTGCGATATAAGGAAAGGAAAAAAGTTGCGGCCAAAAAAGTTTTGTGTGCCATAACAGAACATCGATTTTAATCAAAGTAATGCCCAACTATTTTCCAAAATAATGGTCCTATCAATTCCCTCTCATTTCCTTTTTTCTAGAAATAGATCGTTATGGTTTGATGTAATTTATAAACTCTGGTATTTTATGGTTTCTTTTATTGATTTATATCGATGAAAAGAAAGGTTTCTTAAAACAATTTTATGCTTTGCTCTTTGTTTCCTGACTGTATATTAACTTTCAAGTCTGATTCAATTTTTTTTTTATTGATTTTTTAATTTCAAGTTAAAATAAATTTTGAATTACATAATAGTCTGTTAAAAATTGTAATCATATTTTTTTTATCTTCGTTAGCATCAATTTTCCAGCAGAGTGAAATAAAAACGTTAAATTAAATTAATTCTAATACTTTAAATAATTTTTAGCTACGACGTTACAAATTAGTCTGATATTTTTTGTCAAAATTTTGAATCCATTTTCTATTTTTGTGAGGGTAACCAAGAAGCTTGAGTTCTCAGCAGAATTATGAAAAAGAGAGAAAAAATAAAGTACAGAAAATTTGATAGAGAACGACTTTTAAAGCTAAAAAGTCTCCTCATTAAAGCATGCTGCGAGTAAATGGCACGTCATTTCTCCATTTTCCCTCGCGCTTTTTGACATTTTTTATGTTTTTTTCCGTCGGCGGAAAGTACGCGTTTTTTCGCTAACATTATGCACAAATCAAGTTGTCTCTCAGTGCTCGCGAATAAAAAGGTCGTTGAACGTCAAAACAGGCGCGCGCGCCTCTCCGTCGGCAAAAAGCACACACTGGCTGCTTTTTCGGAGACCCTTTGACCCGGCCGGTCATAAATAAAAGAAGCACGCGGCGCCGGCATCTTTTTGCAACGCGTTTTGCGCGAATAAATCACCACCCGCGTCACAGCAAGGAGCGGCTAAAATTTACCCCAACTTTGATTAAAATGTCGCCCAACTTTCGAATTTGGGCGGAGAAGTCCTGAGCACATATAGAGTCATCGTTTCTCGTTCCCGAGGG